GCTCGAAGACGAGTTCAGATCCTTGGTCAAACATGGCGGCGAGTCACGAAAACTCAATCGCGCGTTTCGTGGCGAGTCGAATGGCGTGTTGTCGTTTGACTCGGGAGATGATGAAGAAGAAGAGGAGGAGGAGGTAATCGGGGACGGTGAAGAACACCAGATCCCTAATGCTCAGTTGATCGGCAACTACGACATCGTGATCGATGCACTTCTTTCTGGAACCATCAACGACCTCCATGAGATTGCTAAGCGGATGGTGGCGGAAGGGTTTGGAAAGGAGTGCTCGCACGTGTACAGAAGCTGCCGGAGATAGTTCCTGGAAGAGAGCATGTCGAGGCTAGGCTTGCAGAAGCTGAGCATCGAAGAGGTTCAGAAGACGCCATGGCAGGACCTCGAGGACGAAATCGAGCTTGCAGATATTAGACGGAGAGATTGAAATAGGGAGGGAGAGATAAAGCTTGTCGTCAAGGGCAAAAGCGGAATGTTATTGCTTGGGCCATTCTTATTGGGCTGATTTAAAATTGAACTTTGTACTAACCATTAAATAAACTTGTAACATGGTTTTTGGTTAAAACTTAATGTTTTTAAGCCCTTTTGGTTAGTTTTCCTTTTATTTAAAAGGAAGAAGAAATATTAAGAATCTACAAATTGTGAAAGCAGACCAAGATTTTGACCAGTTTTTGCATCCAACTCAACTCAAAAGGAAGAAGAAATGTATAGACCCACACTATCTACTAATCAAGTATCTAATTTCCTTAAGAACTTAGAAGTTAGAGGGCATCAAAGGTTGCCAAATTACTGCAAAATTATCAATTCAATCATTAATCTACTGCAAAATTAACTCTAGTAACCTAGTTCGAAAACCCTAAAATCCCAAATTCCAATTTAAAAACCCTAAAATCCCTACACCCAAAATTCAAAATTTCAAATTAATAACAAAACCCTAATTCAAAATTACCTAAATTTTAGAGGGATGATGGCTGGTACTAGACCAGTGTCCTCGACGACGGTGATGGGGTGATGGCTGTCACGACGGCGGGGGTTGCTGTCGAAAAAGAGAGAATCGACGGCAGGGGTGATGTCCTGGCCCCTGGGTTCTCTGGGATTTGTCGAGGAGGATGATGGGTGGTGTCGTTGTGTTCGTCGAGGAGAATCGACGGTTGGTGAGGGGGATGACGATTGGAGTTGAGGGAACTATCGAGGAGGGAAGGACTGAGAGTGAGAGTCGAGAAGAGAGAGATAGAGAACTTAGGGTAAAACTAAAACTAACGGTTCAGATTAGATATGGTAACTTTTTCATCAATCTGGTCCGTCCATTTTAATTACAAACGGGCCGGTTCGGGTACCCGTAGTTCCTATACTCCAAGAACCGGCCCAAACCGGAAATCACAAACGTCAACCCGGCCCGCCCCGTTTCTCTTTTTTAAAAGTAGGAACCTGCCCATACCCGCCCCGAACCGCCATTACCCGCTAATTATTTCTTAAACTGAACCGACTATTTCTTAAAGTGAACACTAGTACTATCACTATTTCTTAAATTAAACACTGATTATTTCTTAAACTGAACGCTGACTATTTCTATAACTGAACACGAGTATTATCATTATTTCTTAAACTGAACACTGGTACTATCACTATTTCTTAAACTGAATACTGACTACTTCGTAAAATGAACATTGACTATTTCGTAAACTGAATCGAGTATTTCGTAAACTGAATCGACTATTTCTTAAATTGAACACTAGTACTATCACTATTTCTTAAATTAAACACTGATTATTTCTTAAACTAAACACTGACTATTTCTATAACTGAACACGAGTATTATCATTATTTCTTAAACTGAACACTTGTACTATCACTATTTCTTAAACAGAATACTGACCATTTCGTAAACTGAAACGACTATTTCTTAAACTGAACACTGACTATTTTTTAAACAGAACACCCACTATTTCTAGAATTGAACACGTGTATTATCATTATTTCTTAAATTGAACACTGGTACTATCACTATTTCATAAATTGAATATTGACTATTTCGTAAATTGAATTTTGACTATTTCTTAAATTAAATATTGACTATTTCTTAAATTGAACTGTGATACTACCAGGAAGGATATACATGATGGGAAAGAGAAGAGGAAGCTTATCAAGCATTTGAGTGTATCTCATTACCATGATTCCAGCTTTTGTTACAATACCCATTAGGAAATTAGGAACCACAAGCTTATGAGCGTGCAAGGCACACGTCAATCCGTGTTTAGTTTCAGAAATAGTCAATTTACGAAATAGTGTAATACTGTGTTCAGTTTCAGAAATAGTAATCGAGTTCAGTTTTAGAAATAGTACCTTATTCAGTTTCAGAAATAGTCGGTTTAAGAAATAGTGTAGTACTCGTGTCAATTTCAGAAATAGGAACCGCATTCAGTTTCAGAAATAATATCCGTATTCAATTTCAGAATTAGTCGATTTAAGAAATAGTGTAGTACTAGTGTTCATTTTTCAGAAATAGTCAATGTTTAATTTTAGAAATAGTATAATACATGTGTTCAGTTTTAACAATAGTGATAATACTAGTGTACAATTTAAGAAAGTGACAATCTCATGTTCAATGATTAGTTTAAGAAATAGTGTAGTGTCAGTTTCAGAACTAACGCCGAAGCTAGAACCTACCTTTCTGTTCCAATCTAAGTTCCAAGCTCTACGAAATTGATCACAACTAACGTCGTGTACGTTTGCACTCTTTTCTTTTGTTTTTTAATATCTCTATATAGATATAATACTAATATTATGTATGCAACTACTACAACATATGCCTGCATTGTGACTGACGGGTAGGAAGAGAGATGAAAATTTGAGAAGTGGTGATCGCTATTTATAGATGTGGAGGTCGGCTACAAACCTACTAAGGCTTAGTAGCCAAGTACTTAGCAGCCAAGTAAATATGTCGATAAATGTAGGGTAAATGACTAGGCTTGTGAAGGTATTTGTGTTAACAATATGCCAGCATAATCATCTAAGGAAATCGACACATGCATGAAAACGTGTCAATTAACTAGCAACATCATTGAACAAATGTTGCCACGTTTTGTGTAGGTCTCGCCTCCAAGCTTGCTAGACTTATTCATCCTACGAATTTACAAAAGACATTTAATACGCTATGTATTTTTTGAAAACGGAAAACGAAAACTGGCGAGGAAAGAAGAGCCACAACAAAGTCCGATAAAAACCAGCAAAGAGAATCAAACCCAGTTGAAGTCGAAATCAGAGGCACCATCGGCAATGCTATTATATTCAACCCCAGATTCAAATCCATGGCCGCGGTGGCCGATTGGGACGAAGAGAGCCTTCTAATTGCAAGCCGGGTGGTCGACGATACAGCGGAGAGAGATTTTAAACACAGGAGACGCTCTGTCTTGGACTCCAAGACCCCACCCACCAATTCATCAAGAAGGTATCAAATAATATGGATTATTCAATCTTTCTTGAAAATTATCTTATTCGTCCCGTTTGGATTGAACGATTTGGATTTGGATTTTGAATCTTTTGCTTTTTCTGGTTCAGAGTTGGAATTGGAATTGCTAAGATTGAAGGAGATTTGAGGTTATGGATGGTAAACGGACATTAACTTGCAATCAGGGGCAAAATAGAAAATTCATTGCTTAGGTCATTTTAATTGGGCTGGTTTAGTATTGGACTTTGTCCTAACCATTAAATAAAGTTAGTACATGGTTTTTGGTTAATATTCAAAGTTTTCAAGCCCTTATCATTAGTTTTCCTTAAAATATATGTTCAAACATGTGCTTAGCAATAGTTGGAACAACCTACTTTGAAGAAGTTAAGGTTCCACCATAAAACCAATTAGCAATATGAGAAGTAACACAACTTCTTATAAGCCCATGCAAGGTTCCTATTCTCATCAATGTGGTATTTGACAACCTGTTCTGATACCATGAAGAAAGTTGAGGTTCCACTATAAAACCAATTGGCAATATGGCATGTAGTCCAACCTTTTATAAACCCATGCAAGGTCCCTTCTCCCATCAATATGAAATTCATTCTCAATACTACTATACCTCAAAGACAGAATAATAAGTCTGCAGATTTATTATATGGAATGCACTTTTTCTTTTTGCACTGGGTGCTCAATCACATCCTTTTTAGGTGGTCATCACTTAACTTCTCATGTTCTATCCATTTCAGTTAGGCAAGTGGAGCACTATGTTTTGTTCTTCTTTGTCTTACTTTTTTTCTTAATAATCTAGTGGTGCACTAACATTTAATAATCTTAAACCCTGATTTGAAGTTCAAACTTCATAATACCGGCCACAACTCATACATGAGAAGAATTAATTCACAATAACAAAATCTTTTATTCCACGTTCATTTAATGTAATAGATATTAGTCTAGTGGGTATTTCTCTTCATTTGAAAGTAAGAGGTCTTAGGTTCGATTCTCGCCAAAGGTAAATTTGAACCACATTGCTAGCCCATTGTACGGCTTAGCCAACTACCTCACCCCCTTAGTGTAGATAATACCGTTTGTTCAAAAAAAAAAAAACGTAGTAGATTTTAGTCACATTTTTTGTTAACATGTAGACTTTATGTAGAATCGACTTACACAAAATAGGTCTCACATTTATAAAAATGTGGTCATAATAGTGTGACAGAGGTAGGATAACAAAAGGAGTGTGATATCTACATACCCCATTTTACTTCTCACATACTTTTAAATTTTCGACCGTTGGATCCGATGAATTGAAGAAAATCAACGGACAGAAATTATCAAGGGGTGTGTGAAAAGTAAAATAGGGTGTGTGGATAGCACACCCCATAACAAAATAGACTGAGCTAGAAACTTGGTATGTTGGACTAGAGCTCCAAGGTAGCTTTTTACTCATACTGACCAAACTTGGTATATCGTGTGTTTAATCATATACCATACGACTGACAATAATTATGATACAAAACTTGCATCCCTATTTCTTGGTACTATATAAATATTTGCATCGATATATACTTGAGTCCTTAACCATATAGCTATAAGCCAATACCAAATCCTCACAAGTCACAATCTATGCTTCGAAAAAGCAGCATTATCAGACACCAAATGCCCCTTCGATTTTGGTGGAACCTTACAAGGCAGTAAACTAAACGTCGACGGGTCCGGGCAACTTCTAGGCTTCACGAAAAACAAGGCACACTCCTCCACTGATCTTTGATCAGCAAGATGCTGAATACAGTTCTTCCTCAAGTCAAGAACCCCATTTTTTATCAGCTGCCTACAAATAGGCCCGACCGACGTGAAATAGTTGTTGGACAGCGATAAATTGACCAAATTTCCTAGTTCGCACACCACCTCCGGCACCTTTCCGTACAGTAAGTTTCCGGCAAAATTAAGTTCCTCCATCTTGTCCAAGCATCCCAATGAACAGGGTAGCGGGCCGGTCAATAGGTTGTTTCCGGCATCAAAAAGTGTTGCATCTCTTAAAAACCCTAGTTCATAAGGGATGCAACCTGTGATCAAATTGTTCAATAATAGTACTTCTTTCAACGATGATGAAGCGCTGCCGATGCTTTTTGGGATTGGGCCGGTGAATCTGTTGTTGGCTAAAGTGAGATAAAGGGCTCGTGTAGCTCCAAGGTTGTCCGGGAGTTTTTGTATGAAATTGTTGTTATTAATGAAAAGGACGTCTAGGGTTTGCTTGAAAATTTGGGGTGGTACGGACCCAGTGAAGGAATTGTAGCGGATGTCCAAGAATGATAGACTATTCATGGTGAGAACAGCAGTAGGAAAAGGGCCAGAGAAGTTGTTGTTGCTTATGTCAAGCTCATAGAGGTATTGGAGATTTGCAATTTTTGGAGAAACGATACCTGATCACGGTAATCAAATAAATGATAACAGAAATATTGAGTCTGAAAAATACGAAAAATATCAATCTCAAGAGATCATACAAAATTTTGAGTGAAATCTACAACAAGAAAATATTGAAAAAAATGTTGTACTACCTGAGAAATTATTGGAGTTAGCATGAAAAAGTGCTAGGTCAGGAAGTTGATCGATGAAGCCGTCAAGAGTGGGAGCACTGAGCTGGAAGCCATTGAAATCTATGGAGGCAAGTGTAGTGGCGCTTTTATTGTCTGGAGGGTTATCACAGTAGAAACCCTTGTAGTTGCATATGTCGGAGCCAACCCAGGTTTGAGTGATGCCTAATGGGTCAGAAATGATCATGTTCCTAAAGGTCATGATTATAGGGTAAACAAGAGCTAGTCTTTGGTCTGCGAAGTTCAGAAGTTGGGGGATTAATGGAGGTAACGGGGGAAGGGGGACTAAAGGAGGTAATGGGGGAAGGGGGATTAAAGGAGGTAAGATTGATGAGCTTTCTGAGTCTGTGCAAATTACACCATCAAAGAAACAAGGAATTAGGATGATGAAGAAGGCAGGAAACAGATGTTCAATGTTTAGTAAAATGAAATTTCCCATTCGACAGAAGCGTGTTTTTGAGATTGAGAGATCAGACGAAGGTGGCAAGTGGTGACTAAAAGACAATGGTGATCGCTTGGTATTTTATAGGTGTTGATGTGATGGATAATGTGCTGCAGTCTAAATTTCATGATGGAAACGCCTCCATATGCTTAGCATTTGTGTTAGTGGATTCGAACCTATACAAAACACTATAGTTTTCCCACTCTTTTTGGCAGGTGAAGATCTCTCTCTCTCTCTCTCTCTCTCTCTCTCTCTCTCTGTGGAAAAGGGTGCATATGGACGGGTATATGAGTCATATGAATCATTAGATACTAGCACGTTTGTTGAAATCAGTGGAGTTTTGACATTTTATTGAGAGTTATTAACTAACTTTAGACAGATTATGTAGATTTTGTAATCGAAAGTCATGGAATTTCTTTGTCAACTTTGGCTGCCTAGTTGCAGCATGGGCTGCTGTGTTTTTCTTGACAGAAAAGTGTGAATCACTCCTTACTTGTGCTGGTTTCCTCCAATTAAGGAGTATGGCAAGTCACTAGTATTTGGTGTAATCTCCTTCAATTCGGGAGTATGGCCGGTCTCTAGGGTTAAGTCTAAGGATAGTTGGTTCTTTTTTTCTTATATATATGTGTATCCTTGTACATTCAATACTTATGAAATATACAAGAAAACTTACACCAAACTTCAACATGGTATCAAAGCAGTGTCATCTTTGACCTCTCTGCCCTTTTTTTCCGCTATTGTTCATCTTCAAGCTCCAGTTATGGCTGAAGAAAGCTCAGTAAACCTTAGAGGAGAAAACTCACAAAGTTCTCCCTCTTTTGTTCCAGATACTGAGATAAATACGAATAAGCGTTTATGCTCTGTTTTGTTGAATGAATTCAACTATCTCTCATGGTCTAGAGCAGTGTCTCTTGCTCTCGGTGGAAGAGGAAAGCTAGGGTTCATCAATGAAGGAGTTGAAGCACCTGAGCCTTCTACCCAAGCATACGAAGCATGGTTATGCAAAGACCAATTGGTCATGTCCCTGTTACTCAACAACATGGATAAGCATGTGGCTGAGATCTTTAGTTACTCAGAATCCTCACAAGATTTATGGAAATATGTGAAGGACATGTATGGGAACCAGAATAATTATGCTCGTGTGTTCCAGTTAAAGAAGGATATTGCAGGCATCTAACAAGAAAGAAAGACCTTTGTTCAACACCTTGGTAGCCTTAAAACCATGTGGAATGAGCTGGATGTATATCTTCCTCATACCACTGATCCATCTATTCTTCTCAAACGTGCTAAGGAAGATAAGATATATCAGTTGCTAGGAAGCTTAAGCTCCGAGTATGAAGATCTCAAAAGCCACATTCTAATGAGTATGGAGTTGCCAACGTTTCAAAATGTTTGTGCTATTGTGCAACGTGAAGAAGCAAGAAGAAAGGTGATGAACCAAGGGTCAAGCCACAAACTGCCTGAGACTCGAGGGTATGTTGTGAACTACATGCAAACTGACAACAAGGCATACAAGGGAAGGAATCCACACCTCAAGTGCAAGTACTGCAATGCTACAGGGCATGTGGAAGAAAAGTGTTGGGAACTACATCCAGAGCTGAAACCTAAGTTCAATAAGAATGTTAGGCCATTCACTCCCCAAGCATCACAAACAACCCCTACAAAGCACAACACACTACAAACCATGCCTTGAGCTCGCTCAACCATGGTTCAGTAGACTTCACTGAAAACCCCTTGTCTCTTATCAATGAATTTGCAGCGTATCTTCAAAGCAAAGGACATGGAGAGGTTGTACCAACTCCTAAGGTCGAGAGTGACAATCACACATCACTTTTTGGCCAGTTTGCTCGGTTCCTTGCTGACCATGATCATGTTCATCCTGATAAAGTTACAGGTATCTTAAACTCTTTCTCCACTACACTTCAAACTAGTATTGAACTTGATTGTTGGATAATTGACTCAGGTGCCACTGATCACTTGACAAATAAAGTCTCAAATCTACATGATTTTCATCCTTTTTCAAAACCTTCTCAACCGTCAGTTGCAAATGGAAAAAGTGTCTCGGTGATGGTAGAGGAAAAATAAATTTTATGTCAAAAAACATCAAGTCTAGTGCTCTATACGTTCCATCCTTTCCTTTCAAATTACTTTCCATAGGGCAACTCACTTCCACTCTAAAATGCACTGCCATTTTCTCACTAGCTAATGTGATATTTTAGGATTGTATCACCAAGAAGATGATTGGTGAAGGTTTTTTTTCTTTCTAAATGGCCTGTATTATTTTTGCAAGAAGTCCCATCTACCTAAAGCTCTACAAGCAAATTCAAGTAAACCTCAAGAGCAACAACTTTGGCATCAAAGACTAGCTCATCCATCTGAAGTTGTTTTGTCAAAATGATTTCCCATGTTTTGTCACCCATCCTTTAAGTGTGATACCTGTCATTTTTCCAAATTTGCTAGACTTCCTTTTGGTTCTTCCATGTCCAAGTCGAGTACACCATTTGAAATGGTACACACTGATATATAGGGTCTAACTTTTGAATCAAAAACATGCCCAGATGTGCTTTTTCTGTCATTAATTGCACTAGCCCAATCAATGTCCGTGAACCCAACTAAAAAGCTTTCTTTCTTTTGTGTATACTTGATGCCATATCCTTTGGTTCCTTGCACACATTTTAGTATTCTTTTCACTTTAGCAAAATGATAATTACTCATGATCGAGATACCAAACTGACTGCATGAACTATGTCTAGCCTTATATTAGATAAATAAATCAGCAACCCAAGAGAACTTTAACATTAAGAGTCTATTGGGGCCCATAAATGTCACACACCAACCCAACCAAGTCTTAAGGCCCAATTGTCATGCAAAGCCTACATTCAAGCCCAAACACATGCCAAGGCACAAGATGGACAAGGAATATATTTACAAACATGCCATGCCACGGTGTTTAAGTCGGATATTCACACCATGCTCATGCCTATTCATCATGCCATGCTTCCTTAACCACAATTCATGCTAAGCCCAAGTCACATATGCAAGGCTTGCCAAGTAGATTGTGGTGTGGATGGTTACGGACTGTTATCGGGCCTACGTGGAATTAGGGTCATGGAAGACTTTGGGTTGCTTGGGAGCCCAAAGATCCAAGCCCATATCCTTTCCCTAGCAAGCCAATCCCTTTAGTTATGATTAAACTAGATTCTTGCATTAAATGCATGTTAAGCCCAACAAGTCAGGCATTTAATGCTGACTTTCCCTTCCCAACCTGCATAAACAGCCAACAAGCAAAAGTTATGAAGCATGCTACCATATTAGTTCATGCGGAAGGCCGCCTTGGGAAAGCCGCATCTTGGGAAGAAGCAATATGTAAGTCTCAACATTGCAGCTACCTTACACCAAAAGGGGGATAATAGGATAGCTATGGAGAAATGAAGGGAAAACCAAGCCACAAAGGGATATTTCCTTGAAACTTAGAGAAGACACTTTCACTTACATAAGGAGGGAAAAAAGCCATTAGGCAGGAAAATGAAGATTAGAGTAACACAGAGAGAGATAGGAGAAACACGGGAAGAGAGAACCACTCAAGAAATAAGCCTAGAGAGTTCCAGTTAGCCTAGAAGTATACTTCAAGCCCTAAGCATCACCATCTATGCAACCTTAGTAATTTCCATAGCTTTCCATCAAACATCCCAGCCATTAAAGGCCTCACTATCACCTTTGGAAAGCCTATATTATCCAGCAAAGTATGCCATGCAACCATGCAAATCCCTTCTTTCTCATGTAAACTGATAATCTTCTAGCTTCCACACCACGCTTCACTTGAGCAAGTCATTATCTTCGAGCCGTTGATGTTACTAGAGTATTTCCTAAGACAAGCTATCTCTTTTGAAATATCCTGGGACTCGTTGCGAATTCGCACCAAGGGAGACAAGAGGACGTTCTCAAAGCCCAAGTCCACCTTAACCTATAAGTCCTCCAACATAAATTGACGACTCTGCTGGGGACAGGTCATAATCTTCATCCAATATCTCCCAAATCCAGAATAAACACTACCAGAAGTGGCAATGCCTCAAACGCAAACGAGCTGTTTTTCGCAACGAGTCTCAATGTGAAGGCTAGCACCTTGAAAACTAGGAAAACCTAGATGAATATGACATGTTGGACATCATCGCAACCATTTATGCCTTAAGTGAAGCCCAAAAAGAAATTGCTGTATTTGTGAAGGAATTGAAGAACTCAATCCAGAAAACAAATAAGAAAGCTAGTGACAAAGGCTACATACTCAACGAAAAGGCCTCTTAGGAGAAGTCAGCTACTGCTGCTGGCAAGGGTCATGAGAAAACACCATCATTTTTTACCCAAGAAAACGTCATAGCCATGCTCGAAAAAGAGCTACACAAGAGTTAAGAGAATTGGAAATATGTTCCTGAGCCACTATATCCAACCATTATCCTCCACATGCGATATCCTAAGGGATATAAGACTCTTAACCTTATTCCCTTTGATGGGAAGAAGGGTAGCCCTAAGGAACATATAAGTCGTTTCATTAATGTTTTTGGTTCTTATGTCGGAGACTACAACCTATATCTTAGGGAGTTCTCGAAAAGCCTAACTAATCGTGCCTATACTTGGTACACCACCCTCCTACCAGGTTCCATCTAGACCTGGGAAGGGTTGGCAGACAAGTTCTGTAAAAACAAACTTCTAGCATAAGGAAAGGGTCACGACAACTCAGCTCAACAATACACGCCAAAAACACGGGGAAGATCTGGTGAATTTTGTAAAACATGTTCGGGACCTCGCCCTTGACTGCTATGACGAGAAGAACCAGAAAGCTCTTGTGGAAATCTGCATCAACAACATTGTAGCTGACTACAGGGTGTACTTGGAAAACATTGGTATTAGCCAGTTCTCGAGGCTTTAAGAGGTAGTGAGGAAGACTAACTTGTCGATCAAGCATTCCACGAGGAGATCCTGGAAAATTGATAAGAAGGAAGCTCATCATGCCCTAGCTGTGGATGACAGAATTGACTATAACCTACGGAAAAGGAAGGAAAGTGAGAGCGATAGGGAAACCTATCTTCCTCTATCATGCAGCGATGAGGAATTCCAAGCCATCCTCAATACCATGCTCGCAAATGGGGCCATCAAGCTACCCCAGCCGTACAAAACCCTTTCTAGGGAAGATAAAAAAGATCCCAGGTATCGTCGCTACCATCAGTATATGAGACATCCCTCTATTGTATGCCAAACGTTGCAAAAAATTCTCCATGCAAAAATCCATGAAGAAACACTAGAGCTGCCATGCACGACATAAACTATAGATGTTTGCCCTTTGCCAAAACGCATAGGGAAAGAGATGGCAGTTGTCATCATATACTCTGAAGATGACAATGCCTACCACCCTTTGATCAAGGACCCCAAGCCACCAAAAGCCATTTGGGAACTTTCCGGGAACATGGAGAAGGCTTACTGGTGCAAATACTCTAAGCCGTCGAGCTATGATACTCTATGGCCTCAAGTTGAAGGATGGGGAGATGAGGATGCAAATGTCATGGATTTTTCCCCAAGCCTAAGTGACGAAGTCTTCACCATTGATATGCGAGAAGAATACAACAAGGAAACCTTGGAAGAGCAACTGTTTTGCAAATGAAATGACGGCTGTGACTTTGTACAACCTTCCCAACATGGAAGGTGACGTAGTTGAACATTACCTTTCCTAAGGGCAAAGGCATATTGCAGGTCAGGTTCTCTAGGAAAACCCGAAGTTCAAATCCCTTTTTGACCAACTTGAATATGACCTGGAACCAAAGACTGATGCTGATAAAACTCTCTTGCATCTAAATAGAAGTCTACCCAGCAAATTCTCATGCAAGAAAAATCCAATATCATGTCAAGAAAAAAAAAGAGATCACAAGCATTATGATAAAATCAACATCAACATCCAAAGTCAAAGGTAAATAAGCAAAATATAAAGCAAAGCAGCCCCATGGCTATTGTTCGAAAAGTAATAAGCTAGCTGTCCAAATGGAAATTACAAATAAAAGTAAAAGTGAAGTGAGAAAAATGACTTTCTTCATGGCCCGCTACTTCAACATCTCAAGGTTCATGCTCTACCAATAAAAAGAAGCCGATGGTTAGAAAAATGCAAATAGCCATGCAAAGCATGCAGTTGAG